GGATGACAGAACCCAATCCCTGTTAGATACAAATATGGAAAAATTCACTAATTAGTCATTACAAGGTAGTTTTCCAACAAAAAAATTTGTAATTAGTCATTATACCTTTTGCCTATCACTGATAAATGTCCATCATTTTTTATCATGAATTTTGATATCAAACTTTAAAAACTCAATGAACCATGTTCAAGATCTCTTGTTCTCGGCCTCAACCACTGCATATGCAACAGGATAGATGCAATCATTAGCATCTATGCCAATAGCTATCAAAAGTACACTTGGATGTGGTCCTTTTATATGGCAACCATTCATACCAAGTATAGGCCGGCAACCTTCTTTAAAGCCTTTTTCAAGGCTGCAAAATAAATGTATACCCTTTTGAATCTCTCTTTTTCAATATTCTCATCAGCCTCTGTCTCTACATGTACTATGGAATCAGGATTTGAGTTCAACAATTCCTCATAATAGTCCCAAATTCTTGTGTATTGCTGCTTATACTTTTTTTGGATCAAAATGTTGACTTTTCCCAAAGGTCTTGTAAGCCTGATCTTTTGTGATGTTCACGTTTAACTCTTCATGCACCTTGTCCTTAAATACACCAATTGCAACCTTCATATTCGTCCGCAGGAATTCCATGTAATGCCTAACCCAAAAGCCTGAATTTGCATATTTGTGACAGAAAATTCTATGACATTCATGTTCTGGTCCCATCGTTCTTATCATAAATGCATCACAATCTGGTTCTTTTGCAACATAAGCAAACCAGTTGCATTTTTCTTTCTTACATTTTGGTCTGATCCTATTCTTATCATTCTTTTGCCAACCATGCTCCTTGCCCCACTTCACGTAATAAAATTCATCAGCTCTTTTAAATATCTTCTTAGCATCAAACAGTAAACCAACAAAGAATTCGGGGTCCTTCATATCAATTTCTGACCTGAACCTTACATATTTCAGCTTCTTTCTTGAGGTATTTTCATTCGAGCTACTAGAGCAACTATTTAACTCCTCTGTGTTGATGGAATGATATTCCTCTTGGATAGGAATTGGTCACCATCATAAATATCACAGTCATGGTCAGTAGCAAGAGTTCCTTTTCCTTTTGCTTTTGCTTTTTGTGGCTGCACATGTCCTTTCTTTTCTTTACCAGCTAGTATGGCATTTTCCCCTCCATAACTAGCATCATCTACGCCCCTTTGACCATCAATTGTCATATCAACAGTAGTTGTACAATTCTTGCATATTATGTTATCCTCGTCTTCCTTAAAATCGTAATCTCTATCATGAAAGCTTTCACCATCATCTGTTAACTCTAATTCTGGTTCATTTTCATCATTTGCACCTTCATCTTCTTCAATCACAGTAGCACCTTTTCGTTTACCTTTTTTTATTTCCCCCAATCTACTTTAGATACATCAACTAGAAGTTCTTCATTGCCAAAAAATTCATCAAATGTGATGTCCACATACACCAAATCTTCTTTTTCATTCTTACCTTCACTCTCGAAAGTTTCCTTGTTCTTGCTAGGTTCCATGGATCTAATATGAAACACATGGACAACGTAAAGTTCAATTTTTCCAATTTTTTACTTATATTAGCCATGTCCATTACATCCTGTTCACCATCTATTTGTCTAAATCTCAGTCTCCCATCTATGGTTAGGATTCTATATCTATAATTGGCATTTTCATCATATCCAAGTAAATGGCCAAAATCTCTCATAGAAGCTATGTTAATTTTAGAGGCCAAAACCCCATAAAAAACTCCATGGTACTCCCCACATATTTTTGCTATGGTTTTTTAATGCATGCCCCATCATAGTAGATATATAGATTGAATATATCCGAGTCATCACCCCTTTTATTTTCCAAACAAACAAAAAAATTACTACCATAATTTGTAATTTATAGTCATTGTCTGCCTTTTGAGGAACATAAAAGCAACATGACAAATTAATTTTACAGTCATGGACCACATGAACCCTTTTTTAGAAAAAAAAAGGAAAAATAGAAAACAAAGCCTTTTTCCGACAACATTTGAACCAATCTTGCTATTAAAGTACAATACTTGTTGTTCACAACAAGGCAAACCCACACCGAACTTCATCAAACTATTAACATAACAAATCAAAGAGATTTAAGTGGTTCAACTTACTCAATTTGCATGATCCCTATTTCTCAAAATTACTTCTTTCATGCCTATCGTCGCTTGCTGCCTCCACCCTTCGACTTCCTACACGATTACATTTCTTTATTCATCATGATTTTCAGTTGATTTTGTTCAACACATCATTCACTAAAGTTCTGGGTTTTTGCAAGAAAAAGTTGATGTTTCGGGTTTGGGTTTTTATCACAGATAAAAATGTGCTGGTAAATTTTCATTTCGATTTTTACTTCTTATCTTACAAGCCCAACAGTGAAGTACCCAAAATATCCCTGCTTAGGTGCTCAATTAGAAACTTGACCAAAATTACATGGTGGCACTGCCGCAGCATTCCTCAATTAGAACCGATAAATAAGTGTAGGGATTAAATTGGCCAAAAAAATTAAGTAGGGACCAAATTGACACTATAAAAAAATTTAGGGATGATATTGGCATTTTTTCTTAATATTTTATTACCCAAAATTGTTTCACTGTTTAGTGACACGTAAACAATAAAATCTAGGTTTTTATTTATTATCATATTGTCATTTGATTAAGAGTTAATCATAAAAACTCCTCTTAAGGTTTAATTAGTTCTGCACTTTACCTCTACATGTTATTTTTTCTCACTTTATCTCTTAAACTATTAGTCAACTCTAATATTGTGTAACAAAAATATCAAAAAGGCATTTATATCCCTAAGGCTAAACTCCAATAAATCCCCTAAGATATATCGCATTTTGCACTCTATCATCCAAATCATTTTCTCTTAATTTGTTTATTTGTCCCTAAAACCACTATATATGGATAATATTTAAAAATATCAGTATCCTTGACATAATAATGAAAATTATTGTATATCTCTGGATATAAGTCTTGTTATATTTTATCTCCATAATTATAGGTTTTTAGTAGAGGATAATATCTGCTTATTTTACATTATAAGGAAAAACACAATAATTATTAATGAAAAATAAACTATAAGGATATTATTAAAGGTTTATAGATTGGGTTTGTCTGGATTGAAAATTATTTTAAGATTTTTTTAAAATAATATTTGTAATTTGATGTTTGTAAAATAAAAAGTTGATTAAAAAAAATAAAAATATGATCGAGAAACTTGCTTATGTTGCAACAAAGAATTTTTAGAAAAATTTAGCAATCCAAATAATTTTTAATGGCATCTAATTATGCTTTACTAAAAAAACTGACCCCAATAAATTTGAAATCCAAATCAACCATGTTTCTCTCTTTTTTAAATATTACCAACAAAAAAATGTGTATACTCCCATATAAAGAAAATATCTAACTATTAAAAGAAAAGCACAACCATATGCATGTTCATAAAGAGAAAATGACAATATTCGATAATTTTTAGGCTTTTAATAATAATTTCGCATATTAGTTTTTCAATAATAATTTTTGTTATTTATCTATTATTACGTGAAATAAGAAAGATACTTCTCTCGATCTAAAAAAAGTATATTATTATAAGATGAAATTTAATTAGGACCATACCTATAAATATATTATTTTTTCATTTCTATGTTAGGAATATTGATCTTTCAAACATTATTTGTCCTAAGTGAATTAACAAACGATTCTAGTGACAAGTAGATAAATTGAAAAAAAAATGATGTAAGGAGATAAAACGCAAAATAGGTTAGGGGAAGTATTACATTTAACTATTAAAAGTATAAATATCCTTTTGACATTACCATTATACCATGTTAGAGTCAACTAATAGTTTAGAGGATAAAATGAGGAAAAAATAACGTTATGAGGCAAAGTACAAATTTATTTTGTATACGATGGGGGTTCTATTTTTCTCTTAATGGGAGTTTTGGGTATCGGTTTATGTGGTTCTAATGAACCAACATTAAATTTTGGAACATCAGCCAATCAGATGATAATTGTTCTACTGAATAACTAAAGAAAATGGATAGATGGAAGATAGAAAAATAGAAGAGAAATAAACTAATTATAGAAATATCTTTTTTTGACTGTTGGCAGGTTTTTTTTGTATCTGTTGTTCGGAAAGAGGAGGACTCAACTTTAGGAGAAGTTTTTGTAATTAACCCTTTAATTATCAAGTAATGGCTTTTTGTTCTGTCTTTAACCCTAAATGCTTTATAATGTTGTTTTTCTCCTTTTATACTCTAAGAATCATACGTAACCTTATCACAAAGTGTAATATAGATCATTGATTGATGATAAGCAGCACTACACAAACACACACACTTAATTTTTATTCTTATCCAATCCAAATCATTTGTAATATCCTACAAACGGTCCAAATTCAGTAATTTCAGTGAAACTATATTTCCATACTTTCATTTGAAAGAGCCACATTAATAATCAAAAGACCGACCTAGTTACCATTTTTAAATGGATCTGTCTAACCAGTACCCATGGGTCACTCAATAAGATGCATCCAAGAGCTAGATTTTTAGAAAACTAAAATTAATTAGAAAAAACATATAAATATAAGAGAAGGAAATAATTATTATTATGTATATATACATGGTAAGTTATGTGAAATTTAAATATGTAATGATTGCCTATTGGACACTCTTAATAGTTAGAAAAACCCTTCTTCAATTTGTAATATAAAAAGGTTGCCTTCCTTTGGAACTAAATTTAATAGCTTTAACACTACAATATTTATTTCCGTTCTAAACTTTCTTCTCTTGCTTACTATACAACCATTATGTTCAAAAATAATAGGTCCCCCATAAATGAACACCGAAAGTTAGCAAATTTCCTGACAAGTATTAATGTATTAGCATAGTCTTTCCAGTTTGCTAAACCACATTTCCCTTTACAAAGCAAACGCATTCTTGTCCCGTTAAATCAACATGACCTTTGAGGACACACTGGAGAACGATGGAATTACCAAAGGGATTAATGATAAGAATAATAAGGAAGAGGAAGACATGCATGATAGTAAGAATTCAACTCCTGGCTTTATAACCACTCAACAGCCCCCAACATCCACATTGAACCCTTTTGCCAAGGAGTGGAGTCCTGCAACTGAAGGGCCGTCATTGGTCGATCGGTCCTTGTTCATGACATTCTCACGGGGTCATCCACTGTCGAAATGGGAAATTGTTAGCTATTTTGAAAGGTAGACCTGAACCAAGATTTCCTATATCTTGTTAGCTTAATCGTAATGTGATTAGCTAGCCATTAAAAAAAAAAGAAGAAATGTAGTTCATCCACAAACTGGATACAAGGATTCATGTTGATTCTAAAGTGAAGTGGTAAAGGATTGCATGCTAAAAGACACTATTTTTTGTAAATGTACGAGCTTGGAATAGTAATATACAACCACAAACTATTTAGAATGTTGTTATATTGGCTGATTATATGTAGTCATTGGATTTGCCAAGAACTTTGACAAGTGCTTACGGGTGTATTTGATTCTCTCTAAACTGGAAGGAACTATGGGAATTGCGTAGAGGATGTCTTTATCTACATGCCAAGAAATGGACGTGCAGAATTTGGAAAAATTACATTCAAGGTCTCCTCCATTCCAAGGTTGGTTCTCAAGGACAAGGAGCGTGAAAAGATCAACATCGGAGGCAAAAACCATACGCTTGAGGAAGTACAAGTCTCGTTAAATTGCTGTTAGTTTTCATACAAGCTATGAAATTCAAAAAAAAAAAGTTCTTGGATTTGAAACCTAAACGAATTTGTGCTCGTTATTTGAAGCCATTGCTCTATATTTGGTAGAAAAGAAAATGGGTAGTGGATCACAGATGTTTTTCTTTATTTCCTTGGCCTATTTTTATGTTTCTGAGATAGCCATGATTGTCAAATGAAAGTGTCTTTTATTTGTATTGTTGATTGCACTAAATTTTGAAGTTTGATCCTCGATCTTTACGTGGTGCCAAAAGCAATGACTTCTCTACAACGTTTTGTGAAGGCTTCGGCAACACTTCCCAAGCTTAATAGAAAAAGAAAGAAAAAACGCCCACCACTTCTAAGTTCTATTTCCTTGCCCCACGGTCGAAATGGCTTAGCCGTCTCTTGAACCATTTGACATAAGGATATATACCTAACAAGTCGGGTAAATTGCTATTGCTGTGTTAGTAGAGTTTTTTGTTTTGGCTTAACCCGGTTTAGTTCTTGTTCATGATAATTTCTCGAATTAGTTCCTTTATCTGCTCGAAATTCACTAATTTAGCCGTCACCTACAGGAATGTATTACAAAATTGCCTGAGGAAGGGTTGGGCGGATTAGGTGATAAAAGTGAGGAATTGTAAATAGAAGGCTTGAAAAGCCAAAAAAAAAAATAAAGAAGCTTCTTAGTTTTTTGGGGACCCACCTTTAGCTCTTTTATTTATTTATGGCTTTGTTTGGATTCCTCACCTTTTTAAAAATAATTTTTTTATATACAATGTTACAGTAATACACAAACAAAAATAACTCCAAAAACACTATATTCATACAATATATCAAAAATAACTCCAAATATACCAAAAAAAAAATACATCACTACCCATCACTCTGCACCACCACGGCTACCACCTTATCGTCATCATCCCTACACCCACGACCCTGTCTCCTCTCTCCCTTTCTATCTTTCCTTCCTCTCTCCTCCTCCTCCTCCTTTTTTTCCTCCTCCTCTCTCCTTCTCCTTCCTTCTTTCTTCTTTCCCTTTCCCCGCTCCTTAATTTCCTTCCTTTCCACTAACCACAACATTTCTAGTCACGATCAAATATAATCGCGACCAGAAGCTATGACCAAGACGGTCGTAGTTAGAGTGGTGGCTAAAATCACAGCCACCACCCGCGAGTGGGAGAAGGGTTTGGGATTGGGAGGAAGGAAGGGAGGGGGGAGGGGGGAGAAGGGAGAGGAAAGAGGGAGGAGGAGGGGGAGGGGGAGGAAATAGAGGGGAAGAGAATAAGAAGAGAAAGGAGAGAGGGGAAGGAAAACGGAGGGGGTGGTGGTGGGTCGTGTAAAATTTTAAAAAAAATCTCAAAAAATTTGTAAATTATAAAAATATTTAAAAACATATTTTAAAAATACCTCTGAAAACAATCCAAAAAATATCTATCGTAAAAGTTTTTCATATATACAGTTATAGTAAAATTTTTTAAAAATACCCTAAAAAATAACTAATTCAAATACAACCTATGTTTTTCTGGGGTAATGGCCTTTGGCTCTTTGTAGAGCGCTTAGTAGGAAACACGCAAGAAAAACAACTTTGAAAAGTTCTCATGCTTTCACCAGTCTATCCTCTCTATCATTGACCTTGTCCTTTTCTGATACTTTCCACGAGGTGAGATTACTTATTAAGAGCCTTTTGATTATGAAACTTTTATTACTCTTTATCTCTAGAAGTTCATCCCCCTAAAAAGTTTTGCAACACATTTCCTTTTGTTCCATCCAATCTTCACCCCTTTGCCCTAAACTTGGCTTTTATTCCTAGTCAAAAAGGCAAAATAAGATCATAAAGGAAATAAGCTTTTAAACACTTCTTCAAGAGACTTCAAAAATTTTAATCAAAAATAAATAAAAATTTCGTAATGTAAGTGGCCAAGTTAATTTAGCACATGCTACAATTCGGACGTGGGGCCTGAACGGTTGCCAGAAAAATCGTTCGGGCCGATTTTGTGCAAAATGGACAAAATGTAATTCACTTTACATACAGTGTAACTCACTTTTAACAACGTCTAATTTTAGAACAAAATTTTATGAACCCCATACATAATGTGAAAAACAATGTACAAAATGTAATTTAAATCTTACATTTTTTTTGAGCCAAATCTCCTCTGTGAACTATCACAAACTGTTGCTTCCTACAACCGTTCCTGCCCTCCTCCAAACAGCTCTCGACAGCTGTGAGTTGGTTTGGAAACGTCACTGGACGAAGATGTTGAATAACCATCAAATGAATAGTTCTTAAATCAAACAGAACATTATCATTTGTGATATTATTGCATTCATTTTCTTTTGAGCAAAGATTTCGGGTCCAAATCTCTTACTTGAACGAAAGCAAGAATCGGTCTAATTGAAGAAACCGGTATTCTCTAACAATATGATACTTTACAAGCCGCCATAGCAGAACACATGCATTGAGTGCCCACATGGCTGGGAAAATATTCAAATACTCAACTTTGCTTGTAGGATTGTGATGTTGTTGGGTACAAATTCTTTTTTCTGTGAGTGCTAGACAAGAAGGATTCTCAATACTTTTTTGCTGGTATCTATACAGTGCCACCTAACAAACCTTTAAATCACATGAATGTCCACCTAACATACCTTAATCACCTAATAACTTCTCCGACAACGTGGTAGTTAAACGAAAAATTGGCAAGGAGACCAACAATATATTATATGAAATTATAAAATTATACAGTACCCGTTTAGCAACAAGATGATCACAATTGGACCTAGTCAGATCCATCACCCCTGACCCTATTGAGTACCACTTTTAAAGTCATGTAACAACCAAATTATAATACGGATCGGAGATATTGCTATTATCATAAAATAGGAATGACAACGTGATGATTTTGAAACTGGTGAATTTCCTTATTTTATTGCTTACTTACAAAGTGGGCACGTGTCCCTGTTGCCATCCTATTGATGTAATTAGGGATTGCCCATTTCCTTCATATGGCTAGAGGATAAGCTTTAATTATTATAATGAGAAAAAATGTGTCACCATACGAGATGTGTAGACATGATATGCTGCAGCTTCCCGGCTGGAAGAGTATTTTAGATTAATCCAAAACATGTAGGCCATGTCCCTTGGTTTCCGAGCAATTGCCCCTAAGGAGACTTCCACCAACTCCTGGAGCAGCAGGGCTACTTCCCCCACCCCAATTTCCACTCACTTTCCAGGACCAATCAGCGAAGTCACGTGGCTTAATCCACTTCTCTAAATTCTATTCGTCCCACGTAATCACCCCATTATTTATTGTTCCCCCTACTCTCCCAGATCCAATCCCCGATCTCACACACTAGCACCAAAACACACACACACACACGCTCGCTCACACAGCAAATTAACACACCCCAACCCTTTAACCCCAAAAAAAAAAAATAATAATAATAAAAAGAAGGAAAGAGAAAAAGAAAAAGCGGCCATGGGCCAGTCGGATGGCGATGGGGAACAACAACAGCTGCAGGAGGTACAAGTAAATCATGATTTCTTCGAGCAACACGTCGTCGTAATGAGGCACGGAGACAGGTTAGACAACTTCGACTTGTTGTGGGCCAGCAAGGCCTCTCGGCCCTGGGATCCACCATTAACCCAAGATGGAAAAGACCGGGCTTTTGCTCGCGGTCGGAAGTTCAGGACCGGCCGCTCTCCCGTTAATTTCCCGATCCATCGGGTCTTCGTTTCTCCATTTCTCCGGTGTCTCCAGACCGCCACCGAAGTTGTCCACGGCCTCTGCGCCGTCAACGATGACGATCTCACCGTCACTTCCTCCAACGGCATCACCATCGACCCCTCCAAAATCAAGGTCCCTCATCACAGATACGTACTTATTGTGTACATCTTGTTTCTATAGATAGATTCTCTCGTTGAAATATTTTGGTTGCATGGTTATTTGCAATAATCTTATTAATGGGGTTGCATGGGGAAATCTCTAGAATAATTTTTTTATTACTTTTATAGATATGGGCTGTTTTCCTACGACAGAAATGATATGTTTTTTCTTTGATGAAGATTTTTTTTTTTGTGTGGTGCTGTTTTGGTTGAACCGGAGAAAATCAGGAAGCATATATGCAAAAAATCATTTTTCGTTGTGTCTCCAAAAGCAAGAAAGTCAGCCTCACCATTGTAATCCATTTGTTGGGTCATCCATTAGAAGCCAATGAGATTATGGGTAACTCTTTTGTTTTGAAGGAAAAAAAGAATTACTGAATCTTCAGAGGTTGGAGAATTAGGAATTGAATACTGAAATGACCGAGAAAGATTACAAGAACACAAATGCTAAATCATAAGTTAAGCAGTTCTTTAAGAAGGAAGTGAAAGGGTCTTTAAACAGATACCATAATACTTTAGAAGTCATTAAATGGTCAAGATACTACCAAACATGGAAAAACTCTGTGAAGCCATGCAGTTGTGTGGAGCCTTGGGCCGTTTAGCTGTGTTTGCACACTGCAAATCTGCCAGGTTACAGTCACAAGTTACTCAATTACGTTTTGGTATCCAAAGTAGGGAGAAGGCTGCTGTGAGCATGGCAAAGTAAAGTACCGTCAACCAGTCTATCAATTTCTCAACTCTTGTGTAGTATCTGGATCGTGAGAAATAAAAAGCACTTAGTTCCTGATACATATTTTTGTCCTTCTGATATTGTAGTTGAACCTGTTATTTCTCATTTTTCAGGTCGCTGTTGAGTATGGATTGTGTGAAATGTTGAATGCAACTGCAGTTAGACCTGAGAATGTTCCTAAGGACTATGACTTTGGTTTTGACATCTCTAAGTGTGAAGCTGTCTTACCAGCTGGAACTATAGATCACAGCGTGGAACCGGTTGATAAGGAGGTACTTCTTGCAAGTTTTGTATCTAGGGTTTTTCTTCATTAGGTCTTGGGTTTGTGTTGAATTCTTCTGTATTATGTTCCTTTCTGAGATACCATAGATCCCACAATGGGGAGAGTTACCAGCGG